TAAACACACAGGCCGGGCAGTGGTGGCGCACGCCTTTAATCCCAGCACTCGGGAGGCAGAGGCAGGCAGATCTCTGTGAGTTCGAGACCAGCCTGGTCTACAAGTGCTAGTTCCAGGACAGGCTCCAAAACCACAGAGAAACCCTGTCTCGAAAAACCAAAAAAAAAAAAAAAAAAAAAAAGAAAAACACACAGAGACACAGGTCATCCTCGAAACAAGAATGCCCCATTTAGGGGCTGGAGAGATGACACTCAGAGGTTAAGAACACTGGCTGTTCTTCCAGAGGTCCTGAGTTCAATTCCCAGCAACCACATGTATTCACAACCATCTATAATGAGATCTAGTGCCTTCTTCTGGTGTGCAAGCATACATGTAGGCAGAACACTGTATACATGATAAATAAATCTTAAAAAAAAAATAGAATGCCCCTTTATTGTATACCAGAGCCACTTATATATGGATCCTTAACTGATAGCCACGCCCTACGCAAACCCACCAGAAACCACTGCCATCAGGAACTCCTGAGGGTCTCATGCTCAGAGTAGGTACAAACACAGGAAAAATAAGTTGTTTTGCTCAGAGCAGCTGGACAAGTTGTTTACAGGAAATTCAAGGTCTGGGTTCACAGCCCCCAACACTTAACAATTTATCATTGCATTTGAACCCACCGTAATTGGATTAGAGATGAGACTTTATTAGCATGATTATGAAATGCCTTGCCTACAGTTAAATGAAAAACAGAATGTTTGAATTTACATATTTCTGTTTCTCTGGTCTACACAGTAGGCATCTTGGATCCCTAAGGATTCCTACAGAGTATTTTTATTTATAATGTATCTCGGACACAAGCACAATAGATTTTTGTTACTTGCTTTCTAAATTAACAAATGAGAATGACCAGTAAACTGTCTGCTGGTGGTTGTTATGTTGCCAGCAGCAGTGAACTGTAGACTATCACAAAGGGCACTTGAGGGAACCTGTGAAGTAGACATAATCGTCAAGCAAGGAGAGCTGACACCCTTTTTTCTTGAGTGGTTTCCCAAGTAGTTGTTTATTGACATATAACTGATATAAAAGAATGTCTTTTAGAAAAATGTACAAAGTGCAAGTTTTTAAAATGTTTTTGTTGAATTTAGAAACTAACAGATACAAACTTAATGAATTTAGAAAGTAACAGATATGAATTTATTCTTTATGATCTTAGATAAGTGAAACATTCTTGTGATAACTTCTTAAAACTGTGAATTGTGCTTGTAGATTCAGTCAGATCCCTCTTTGGTATGAAAATCTCCTGTTTCTCCATTTTCATCAGATTTCACTGAAATTTCAACGACAGCTTTTGTTTTTGACCCTCTTAAGTATCAGAGTCATTGTCTATAGTATAGAATGCTATCTGGCCGTGACTGCCAGGGCAGGGATAACACTTGACAGTGCTGGTTGTTGGAGGGAGAGTAAAAGGCACGGCACTGTGTCTCTTGAGCATTGAATGCCTGCAGCAAGCAGACAGGAACCTTCTCCAGTGGTAAGTGAGACCCAAAGTTGGTGCTCTGTCCCGAGCAGGGTTAGTTCTTACTTCTGACCTGGGAAATTCTCTATTGGCACTGCTTTTTGCTTTGCATTACGGTATAATGAGTGAGGATAAAGTGTCATTGTAAGGGGGTTAAATTGTCAGTTAAGTACTGAAAGTGAGTAAACATAGGAATGGAGAATCTTACACATTTATGATATTCTTAGTTGTTTTGTGAATAGGGAGAACTATTGTTGATATATAGCAGAGTGATTTGCTTTGTTCCTTTATAATCAGTTCTTGATTCACTTTCTCCAAGGAATGAGTTTATTCAATTGGCAGCCTTTAGTTAGAGTAGTAGTGTAATTAGAGCTCATGATGTTAATCTCGTATCCATACAAGATTTTCAAATTAATGAGAGATTGAATTCTTAGGTGTTTGTAGTATTTGAAAATATTGCTGAATTCGGTTCTTTGGAAAGTGATGATTTTAGGTAGGGCTCACAGTGGCTTTGCTTTCTCCTTATTGTAGAATTGTCTTCATGGATTTCCTGTGTTTCTAAGAGATGTAGTGAAATACAGAAGTTTGCACTTAACCATTTCTTGTTTTAAAATTAAAATGGAAAAAGGAGTACAAAGTTTATAGATTGTTAGCTGTTCTATAACTAATACGGGTATAAACACTAAGAAATTAAAAGAGCTATAAATAACTGTTTCAATAATAATTCAGACAAAAAGATTGTAGGTAATTTTATCTTCTTTGAACTTTTTTAACCTTCTAGTTTTTCTAAGATTGATATCATACTGTATCATTTTCACAGACTGAAAAAATAATTTTGAAAGCCGAACCTGTAATGAGAATACATTTTGTTCTTGATGTTCATGTGTTGAGAATAAGGGCTAAAGGAGTGTTCCTCTGTAGGATCCCCTTCCACTCTTAGGAGTTCTTTTCTCATTTTTCCTTAGTTAGTGGGATAAGAGAATGAGACTATATGCTCACTTGCCTTTAAGGGTTAATGTCTGCATCCTAAATGTGAGTTTGCTTGTGGGGTGGCTCTGTTTATTGCAGCCAGCCTCTTGGCTCCCCGTCTGCTCAGCTATACTGTGTAGCTAAAGGCAATGTACTTGTGGGAAGCCTCAGTCACCCAGCAAGGTTCTTATCAGCTTTGCTTTGTTTTTTTCCTCCATTCATTTTACTATGAATATGAGCTTCGGAAATATTTATTTCATATGAAAGCAAATCTTTATTGTGAATATATGTTTTAATAATCAATTAGGCATTGTACTAATAATCTGAATATGATCATAGTTTGAAACTATACCACTTTGTGAAAGTACCAGAAACCAGCCTGCATTAAGTTGTAGATTTCTTGTGGAAAGGTATTTTAGAGCATTCTTAGTAAGAATGATGGCAGTTTGCATTTAACAAGCTTCTGTATTTTCACGTTAAGTTTATGTGTGAGTTGTGCTCCGTGACTGATGGCTTACCTGAGATTCCGAAGTTAATTTTCTTGTTTTAAGAAGATATTTTTCAAATATTTTAACTCTTGATAATATTATAGACAATAAGGTCTTATTTAGAAAGGATGGATGAAATACTAAGACTAAGTTACAAAAATATAGTCTATTAAATATTGTCTTTAGAATTATAGAGTCTTAGAAGTTATTAGGTCTAGTGAATTAATATTTTCCTACAAGTTTTATTAATTTAATTTTGTCTATTTTATTTAGTATATTTCCCCCACCGAATCTCTCATGTGCACACAAATGTGTATATGTGTATTTATACATATGAACACATTTGCAGATGATCGATTTTATTTAGCTGTATCTGTGACACAGTGGTAGCTTTCTGTGGAGTATGTTTGAGGCAGTGTCACAGTATATAGTCTTGGAAGCTGGCTTCAAGTGATCTCTTTGCCACAGCCTCCAAATACTGAGGATTTGAAGAACTATGGACTATGATGCCTCTATGCTCAGCTGACGCCTGGCACTTTAACCATTTAAAAGGAAGCCATTTTAAAGTGAAGATTATTTTACTTGATAACTGTCTGAAATCTCTTTGAGCAGTAAGACAGGGATAATTTTCTCATTATTAGGGCCTTGTATCTGATTTCTCAAACCATCTTCCTTAGTCCACATTGGTATTTAAACAGGCACATATTTTTTCTTGAAGATTTAGAGCTGAAAGAACTTTTGTATTAAAGTAATGTATATTTTGAAATAAGCTGGGTGTGTGTGGGGGGGCAGGGCTAAGTTCATTTCTGATGAGGAACACACTTGCCATATGACCACAATGACCCAGGTTCAACTCTCAGTACAGCCAATTATTAACAACAAAAACCCAGTGTATATGTGTGCACAAAGATTGAGCTAAGAGTATCCAGAGAACTTTCATCATTTGAGAAAGCACCTTTGATAGATAACTTCTGAACTCTCCAGCCTGCATGAAGTTACATACCTGTGCTTATTTTCATTGATATTAAGAGGTAAACAGTAACTACTTCCTTTAAAAATTTGAAAAACATTTTTAAAGGAAAATTTTAAGTGCTTTTTTAAAAAGTAGTATTTTTTTTTCTGTGTAACTGTCACCTTAAGCAAATATCAGCCTTACAGTCGTTAGAAATTTTAACTTTATATCTCTTTGCTAAGATTTGTCAAGCAAAGCATCTGTAAGGTCAAGGTACTAACATCAGAAGCATTTCTGAACAAAGATGTTGCAGTTGGTGGGGTGGGTCCCACTGTGTTCAGCTGTTGTATAAGCTTGCAGAAATAGTATCATCTTGACTTTAATCTTTCGGGTGTTCAGAGGTAGTGTGCATATTTCTGTTTAACCCCTGGAAATGCGCCAAAATAATCCATATCCTTATCTCCATCCTTGGCTCTAAATAATCTGTGAATAAGATTAATGAGAGGTATTCTGTCTGGTGGATCCAGTGAAAAAGAAAAGTTTCTTTCTTTGATTTAAAAAGTTTTGAGGTACTGTTTGATATTTTGGAGACTAAAGTCAATGTTACTTTTCATCTGTTTGAGAATGCTTTTACATTTCATCAGAACATAGAGTGGGAGAACCGAGTCTGAATGTTGGTGGCCTCTAGTAATCACCTACCCTCTTCAAGTCATGGTTCTTTCAGGTGTAAAAGGAATGAATGTATGGGTTGTTGTGTAAGTTAGATGAAACAGGGCATTCAACAATTATTTAATTATTTAGTAATTATGTAAAATGTCAGTTGAACTGTAGGATTGAGTGAGTCGTGTCCTGAGCTCCAGTCCTACACTGATGTGTACTGACTTGAGTTGACGTGCACTGTTAGCATTTACCACATTACTTTGCAAAGAGAGCAAGTCTTCTTAGTCTCACCCAGGTCTCTGCTTGGCAGTTAGAAGCTCTAAAGCTCAGACAGACAGCATACAGAGAATATATTTGAGCAAAATCTGTTGAAACAAAGCTTTGAAAAAAGTCATGCCTTACAGTTTTTTCTTATTGAATTTAGCAAACTCTGGCCTGTTCTATTCTAACTGCACTGTTAAGTGAGTTCTCAAGTTCAAGTAAAACTAGCAACATTGGACTGAGTATGGAATTCCATGGTAACTGCAAACGAGTCTTTCAGGTACTGGTATTTTGTTTTATGTTTTAATTATTAGATGGTCTACTTTTTGCCCAGTTTATTCCTAATGGCAAGAAAATTTGTTTTGAATGTTTGATAGCTTACGCCTGAAGACTTGTGTTGAGATTTCAATATAGGATATAGTAAATAGGAGGGTTTAATTACTGTAATTGGTGAGTTTATTATTCAGGTCTCATCTTTAAACAGCAAAAAGAGAATATTATAATAAATATCCTTAGCTTATCATTTTATCGTATTTAGCTATAACTATTTCAATTGATAGGATTCTGCCGGCCTTAAAAATAGAACTGGCACAATGCCAAAGAGGGTCATGTATTTAAAATGTTATTGCAGATGGTGAGGGCTCTTTGTCTCTCGCGTGTATTGTTTGGCTCTGGAGTAAAGTTATGTGAAGGCACTGGCTTGAGTCCTAAGGCTCTGCACTATAGCAACTGACTCTCTCAGCTCTACAGTTACACTCACCTTCACAGGCTTTCCTGCATGGAGGAACATTTATATTACAGTCAATGGTACCTCTTGGAAGCATACTGATGTAAATTTTGGTTAGAGGCCTCAAGATGGAAAACATTCTTAAAGAAGTAGAACAATCTAATGGAAACCTTAAGGTTCTTGTTTGTTTTATGATTCTAAAAAGGAATGCATTTTGATTAAGTGTCATACAAAACTTTTGTGTGATTTATTGCGCATAGGAAGAAGACCTTCGCCAGATCTTCATGTTAACGGTTGGAGTTCTTCAGGAGTTCAGCAGGCGGGAGAACCTTAGTGCTCAGATGTCTTCAGTGTTTCAGCGGTACCTTGCACTAGCCAACCAAGTCCTGAGCTGGAATTTTCTCCCTCCAAACTATATCCTTTTCGTAGTGGGAAGGGCTGTGTTTGTGGTGACTTTGTAGAAGACTTAATCATAAACCTCAGTCCTTGATACTCTTAGCTTTTTTTCTTCTTTTTGGAGAAATGAATTTTATTATACCATAGTACAGTAGACTATGTAAAGTTTATTTATTACTTTTTTGAAGAGGGTTGAGTATATGAAAACATTTGGTGTCTAATAAGGCTGTTGCTGACTGAGGAAGGAAAAGCCAAAATATGCAAAATGCATATTTATTCAGCAGTAAAGACATTCTCTTCTTGGACATGTGATTAAATTAGATTTTGTGACTTACTTTACTTAGAAAGGGTCTGGTTTTGTCTTTATGAATTGTTTAAGTGTATGTATTAAGTTAGTGATAGGCTTTCGGTCCAGAGCATCTGCTGCCGGGTGTCTCGTTGTGCCTTAGGGTACTGTAGTGCCTGCTTGTAGCATTGTTCATTCAGGCAGACCTGGGTTCAAGCCTTAGTTGATCTCCAGCAAATTACTGAACCTTTTTAATATTAATTTTTCCGAGCAGAAAGAGAAGATGTTGGCTGTTGACTAAATTTAATGAAACAGCGTAGTTAACACATTCAGTTAGCTGCTGTTATGCAGCTCTTGGTATCTTTGAGTAAAATAGCCCTACAGTTAACTCCCCATGTCATGCTCCTTTTGATCTAATACACTTGTGCCTGCTGTAGAAAATTAAATATAACCTGTTCTGGATGTCTTTAATCAGCCCTTTCCTGGGGCTTTAAGAGAGTTTGTTTCTAAGATTAGAGATGGAGAGTCCTGTCAGAGCTTTAGGATGAAGCTCGTCTTTGTTCCAACAGAGTCAAGACCTGCTGTATTCGTGTGCATAGGTTTGAGACCTGTAGAACTGGGAGACTTAAGGTGCCTGGTAAGCTTTGATTTTCAAGTTACTATATTTACCTACTAGAAAACTAACTGTGAGAGGCAGGTGGTATGAGATAAAGTGAGCCACTGACTCGTTAAACCAGGAATTCTCCCGGCTTCTTTGCCAAGGGCAGTCACATTGGAATGAATGAAGCTTGCTATCAAGTTAACCATATTCTCCTTTTATGCCTCTCCTTTATCTTTCACCCATTAATCAACTTTCTATATTTAATCTATAAATTTCTTTTTTAAATATTTATTTAATTTTATGTGCATTTGGTATGAAGGGATCAGATTCCCTGGAACTAGAGTTATACAGACAGTTGTGAGCTGCCATGTGGGTGCTGGGAATTGAACCTGGGGCCTCTGGGAGAGCAGTCAGTGCTCTTAACCACGGAACCATCTCTCCAGTCCCTTATTTGTTTTTAAAGGATGGTTTGGGAAAAAAAAAAAAAAAAAAAAAAAGGATGGTTTGGGGACTTTATTCAAAAAAGTCTGTTATTATAGTTTAAGTATCAGTGTAGCACGATCTTGTTGTAAAGAGAGATTAGACGGGCTGGAGAGATGGCTCAGTGGTTAAGAACATTGCCTGCTCTTCCAAAGGTCCTGAGTTCAATTCCCAGCAACCACATGGTGGCTCACAGCCATCTGTAATGGGGTCTGGTGCCCTCTTCTGGCCTGCAGGCATACATACAGAACATTGTATTCAAAATAAATAAATAAATAAATAAATAAATATTTATAAAAAAAAAAGAGAGAGAGAGAGATTAGACAAGTCCCTGTCCTAGTTTTTGTTTTGTTTTGTTGTTGGTTTTGTTTTGTTTTTTAATTAAAACAAAGCAAACCAAAAAGCAACAACAACAACTGAAGGGGCAATCACTGAGCTTGCATGGGCTTGTGTTAGGTACTCTGCAAATATGTTCTGGTTGTTGTTTTTGTGGAACTCTTTTTTTTTTTTAATATTTTATTTATTATGTATACAATATTCTGTTTGTGTGTATGCCTGCAGGCCAGAAGAGGGCACCAGACCCCATTACAGATGGCTGTGAGCCACCATGTGGTTGCTGGGAATTGAACTCAGGACCTTTGGAAGAGCAGGCAATGCTCTTAACCTCTGAGCCATCTCTCCAGCCCTTTGTGGAACTCTTAACAGTGGGAGTAGAGGTGTCTCTGACTCTTTTGCCTCTCCTCCACATCCTTTCCCTCCTACTGGGTTGCCTCACCCATCCCATGAGGGTCTGTTCCTACTCTTATTATAATTTGTTGTTGTTTTGGTTTTTCAAGATAAGGTTTCTTTGTGTAGTTCTGACAGTCCTGGAACTAGCTCTGTAGACCAGACTGGCCTCTAACTCACAGAGATCCACCTGCCTCTGCCTCCCGAGTGCTGGAATTAAAGCTGTGTGATCTTATTGAAACTTGTTATGCCATGTTCAGTTTATGCCCCTGGGAGGTCTTCTCTTTTCTGAAGAGAAATAGGAGGAGTGGATCTGGGGTATGTGGGCGGTGTGGGAGGGAGGAGTGACTTCAGTCAGGGTGTATTGTGTGAGAGAGGATTAAAAAAAATCAGGGTGGAAAGATGACTTAGCATCTTCATGAGGACCAGGGCTTAGTTCTCAGAACACAACCATCTAACACATTTCAAGAGATCTGACCTCTTCTGGCCTCCTTGGACACCAGGCACTCACTTGGTGCACAGGCATACATGCAGGCAAAACTCCAGTGTACATAAAATAATATATATCAAGCTGGGTGGTGGCACATGCCTTTGATCCCAGCATTCTGGAGGCACAGACAGGCGAATCTTGAGTTTGAGGCCAGCCTGGTTTACAGAGCTAGTTCCAGTGCAGCGAGGACTACACAGAGAAACCATCTTGGGGGGCGGGAGGGAGGGGAAGGTCAATTATGGTAGTACAGGTCTGTAATCACAGAATTCACTTGAGAGACTGAAGAGGGTGGATTACTATCGGTTCAAGGCCAGCTAGAGTTACATAGCAAGACCAAGTTTCAAGAAAACCAACATAATAAAACGTTGAAAAAACTTGAAACAGATTTTAAATTACTAGTCCATAAGGAGCTATCAAAACATTAATTATGTATGTAGTGAAATCAACAAAAATTACACCGCATATATCATAGCCAATTCTAAAGTGTCTGTTTTAGAGGAAAATATAGTTGGCAGAGAGTTACTGTTTTGAAAAGAAAAACAGTTCTCTAAGAGTTTGAAAACAAAGTTTGTCTGAAAGATACACACTCATAAAATATTTTATGGTGTCTGTAGATAAAGCATTGGACAAAAGCTACTGCAGTGTTATCAAAGAAAGTAATTCCTCTAAAGGTCTTGAGAGTGGCTGGATGAAGTGTGCATCCTGGAATCTCAGCCTTCAGGAGGTAGAGTCTAGAGAATCAGAAGTTCAAGGTTGTCCTCTACTACCTAGTGAGTTTGAGACCTGCCTTCGATAGGTGAGATCCAAAAGAGAGGGGCGGGATCTGAAAAGATGGCTAATCTGGTAAAAATGCTTGTTACTCTTCCAGGGGTTTCAAGTTTGGTTCCCAGCACTGATGTTGGACAGTTCATAACTGCCTGTCTGTCTCCAGGGGACCTAATATCCACGGATACCCATACACAGTTTCGAAAGTTCTTATATGTACCACCATGCCTAGGTCTTGAATATTTTTCTACTTCATGCTTATGAGTGAATGTTTATGTGACCAGTGAGTGATTGGTGCAGTTCCATATATTGGTGGGCTGGACTACAGCTCTGAGTACTCCTCTGAGTAGGTAATTTTCACATATAGATGTAAGTAATATTTAAACACACATTTAAAAAATATCATCTGGGACTAGGGGTAGACATTATACTCATTTACCTCTGCATATTATTGTGTATTTTCTTATTGTGAAGGTACAAGGGTCTTAGCCCAGTGGTAGAGTTCTTGTTTAACATGTGCAAGGCTCTGGGTTCAGTCTCCAGCACTGCAAAAAAGTTTTTTGTCAGTTTGACACAAGGGTCATTTGAGAAGAGGGACCCTCAACTGAGAAAATCCCCCATCAGATTGGCCTCTAGGCAGTGCCATCTCTAGGTAGTTGGTTCTAGATTGTTGAAGAAATCAAACTTAGCAAGCCATGAGAAACAAACTAGTAAGCCAGCACATGTGGTTATAGTCATTACTTTTTGTGGTATTCTTCAAAGCACAAAAATTTATAGTTTTGATGATGTTCCATTTAATCAGAAGCAATCTGATCCATGGTAACAAGGGTTTATAGTCTATGACTTCTGTACTTTTTGATTCACCTTGATTAACTTTTCATGTGTAGTTTGAGGTGATGAGTCACCATTATTCATATACATGTGAGTATCCAGGTGTCCAGCAGGTGATTATTGACTACAAAAGTGGAAGAGACCAGGATGATGTTTGATTAGTCAGTGAATGCTGGTGTCTCTGTAACTCTGAAGCCAAGTCTAGCTAGCCTTCAGTTTGGAGTACTGATGGATCAGTATGGGACAAACTATTTCTTAGAACCACTGGTTTATAAAAACAAATATGCTTGTTCACCCTGCCTCCTATGTATTTATTACCACCTACTAAATACATACATGGTAGGGTGAGCAAGCCACAGTTGTAGTTTTATTGGCAGTTCATGGGAAGAGACCAAAGACACTGGTAAACCCCGAAGAGTACATAGGAAGCCCTACAGCAGCAGTTATCAGGACCCAAATGTGAGTAGTCCTCTAAACACAAATGCATGTGAATGTTCCCAACAGTTCCAAAAGTGGAAACAAACCCAAGGTCCGTCAGCTGATAAGTGAATAAATAAAATGTGGTATATCCATATAGTGGATATTATTTGTTAGTTTAAAAAATGAAGTACTTATACATGCTAAAACAGAAAAACTTTGAAAACATTGTACTAAGAAAGAGTCTGTTGTGAAAGAAACCATTAAGAGAGTACTTGAATACCTGATCACATTTATATGTGATGTTCAGAATGAGCAAATTGGAGGCAGCTCACAGTGGTCACCTAGAGTGGTGGTGTTTGGGAAGACACAGGAGATGAGTGCAAAGCATACCAGACTTTCTTCTGGGTGATGAGTCTGCT